TATTTCTCTTCTTTCAGATTTCAATGCAGTAGAAACTTCCACACTCGAATCCCCATTGTCCAAACGATAATTTATCATTTGAACATTTTGTTAAAATAGGCAGCTGGCATAACAATATTATCGCGTATGTTACCTGTTTGATTTTTATAATTTGTAGTAAACACCTAATCTAAACCTAATTATAATTTGTAGTAAAAACCTAACCTAAACCTAATTATAATTTGCAGTAAAAACCTAACCTAAACCTAATTATAATTTGCAGTAAAAACCTAACCTAAACCTAATTATAATTTGCAGTAAAAACCTAGCCTAAACTTAATTATAATTTGCAGTAAAAACCTAAGCTAAACTTAATTATAATTTGCAGTAAAAACCTAACCTAAACCTAATTAGAATTTGCAGTAAAAACCTAACCTAAACCTAATTATAATTTGCAGTAAAAACCTAACCTAAACCTAATTATAATTTGCAGCAAAAACCTAGCCTAAACTTAATTATAATTTGCAGTAAAAACCTAAGCTAAACCTAATTATAATTTGTAGTAAAAACCTAACCTAAATCTAATCTAAATCTAAGAGTCTTTGGACACGGTATCCATTTTTACTTCATTTTATTGTATTTCACTTATTTGACTCTATTTCAGTTTTATTCGAATTTTGTCATATAATCTGTTATACGCGTTATCTATTTATTCATTTTATTCTATTTTATTTATTTATCTGTTTAATTTCTCCGATACATGAAAACATAAATTAAAAATAAAATTTTGCAAATTTTATTCAACATTCTGTTAAAATACAGATCTAAATCTGAACACAACCTTTCTTATCATCGAAGTTAAATCTAACCACAAAATGATTGACTACGAGAAGTCTCGTTTACTTGGCGAAAGATGCTAATTTGCAAATTCAAACGTACTAGTTCTGTACAGCGTTTCTGTCGGATTGTTTATAATCCAATATCCTTCACAGACACAAATCAAGGAATAAATGAAATCAGCATGTCCATGATTCAAATTTCTACTAATATAGATATTCCTTGATATTGTCGAAGATGGAGGACATCGAGAACGAGACGAGGTGTTGTAGAATATATTTTTAAAGAGCTCGCTAACACGACCGAGCCATCCAGGATGATTACACGTTGACCTGACTGATTACTGTGATTAATATCACGTTAAAACGACGGTGGCGATTATGATGGTCGCGAACAGTTTCCACCTCTAACGAGCATCATTTGTGACTCACAATCCCGACAACGGGAACAAATTATGCAATATATACAGTCAGTTAAGTACAAGAGTCTACACACGTCTGTCAAATTTCGAATATTTGAAGTAAACATAGAGGGATGTTGAACATTATTAACATTTACATTGACTGATACAATTATTTACAAAAATCTAAATACAATAATAAATAAGTAATTATACAGTAAAAGTGAATAAAAATTATTGTGATTACAATTACTGAACATAAATTGTTATCGTGATTATAATAATAATAGGAATGCATTTCAATGTATTGAATTAATTTTATGTATTAACTAATACAATTACTTACAAAAATCTAAATGCAATAATAAATGTGTACAATATGATGAACAAAGGTTATTGTGATTATAATTGTAATAACAATAAGAATGCATTTTGCATATTTCACTGTATTAATTGTTATTGCCAACTAAATTAATGTATTCACTGATTAAATGTAATGTAATTGTATAGTTATTCTTTTGTCCTGATTTATTTATATTATAAATGTTAAAAACATCCTCATTTCTGAGTAACTTTAATTAATAAATAAATAAATGAATATAAAACGTGTATAACTGACTAACTGTATATACTTTTATTTTGTGTATATGTTATACGTTAATTATACTTTACAACTAACTATAGTTAGTCTAATGATGTTATACGAAATTTTAAAATACAAAACTATGTAACGTAAAAGAACACACACATTATGTATGAAATACACAAAATAATGTTTTCTATCAGATAAAACAATTTTTCATTTAGGTTCTCTTTTTCCTAAAGATAACGATGATGAGAATATCATAAATATTACAAAAAAATTGCAAAATTAATAATTCGTATAAAAATCGGCAACCATTACAAATATTAAAATAAACAGATAAATATAAATGAATATAATCAATCACTTTTGCATTCAGCTGAAGTTTTGGTTTTTCGAGAATTCGTTTCAAATTTATCGAACCACTAACGAACTGTCAGTTTTTAGAATTTCGCAGTTTTAGGATTTCGTTCTATTTCAAGAGACACAATTTATAGTATTTACAATAGTATAGTATACACAATTTTAATGCTATAGTATAGTATTCCTATTTCAAGAGATACAACTTATAGTATTTACAATAGTATAGTATGTACAATCATAATGCTATAGTATAGTATTCCTATTTCAAGAGACACAACTTATAGTATTTACAATAGTATAGTATATACAATCTTAATGCTTAATATAGTATAGTATTTACAATCTTAATGCTACAAAAGATATTCTTGAGCTTTAACATCACCAGACTGTATATTCACTTCCATAGCCAGACATTGTGAAGGAATATAACAATGATACGTGGGTATTAAATCACAAACTGTTTCGTTTTCATGAATTAATATAAGGATGTTTGATAATTTTTATTCTGCTGCTATCTTTTAAAAAATATACGATTCAAAACAGATTGTCCCACAATCTATAGAATATATATAAGATGTCAGTTAATAAATAATTAGTATTTAATTAATAGTCCATAATTTGAAATAATTGAAGTTAACTTTGTAAAATTTCTTTTACGAAAGACAAGATATGACAAGATAAAGATAAATCTGTCATGTGTTATAGATTTCATTATAATTTAATTAAAATTAAAATCTAATGGCAATTTTCTAAACAGGTTACTTTTCATAGGGAATGCCAAGATAGATTTACTAATGTTTTAAAAATTGTATGATTCCATTTAAAAAATTGTGTCTTCATATGTGTTAATCAAAAAATGTTATCAGAAAAAAATCTATCAAAAAAAACTGTTAATATCAGGTTCACTGTTAATACCAATGTCACTCACAATGAGATACTGACTAAAATTTCGTTCAAATAAACAAAGTTCTCTACTGTAATATGAAAAACACATATAACATATTTTATATTGTACTATATTATTATTTTTAAAGATAAAAATAATTTCCCATCTAGATTCCATTTTAACTTTCTGCACAGGTCCTTCAGTTTATCAAAAGCCATATAATTAACGGGAAACTTGTTTACAGAACCTTGGTCCCTCGCGCCCTTCCTCGATTGCTCCTTATTGCCAAAGGAATCCGAGTAGAAGGGCCGCGTTGCTCGTTAAAGGCGTTTTTCGCCCGCAATTTGCTCCGAGTCTCGCTTTCTCGCAGGTATGTCTGTGTACCTGGTTGTATGCCAGGTTCCAAGAAACAGGCCAAAAAGTAGCCCATTCTCCCTCTCTATCCCATCGTCCTATCTGTCTATCTATCTATCTCTGTCTGTTCGGTTTCGCGTAATCCCGTTCTTTTCTAACCTCCCTTTTCTTCTTTTCGCCTTCGCCGCCGCCGCCACCAGGGGATCGCAGGGGACATAAATTCGTAAAGGTAAAGGATCGGGCACAATGCGAGAAACGAGCCTAACGAGAAGCGGGAAAAGGCGACTTTACAATTTTTCGGGAAGGGAGGCCTCTTCTCTATTGGCTGCGCGCGCCCTTTAATGGCGACGTAATGTAAGGCCATTTGAATTTTGCTGAACAGGGGACACGAAGAAGAGGATAAATCGGCTTCTTTGAATATAACGAAACGTACTTTTCTCACGGGATCACACAGTGAGTGCTGTATCCCGCTGCATTGTCTTTTCTTTTTCTTTACCTTTGGGACGGGCAACGGTGCTTCGGGGATTAAGGTTAGGTTTGTGCGTTGGCGGTAATAACGAGATTGAAGGAGAGGTTCTTTTTGTATCTCCAGCTAGTATTATTTTAATTTAAATTACTCGATTTTAGGATGTTTAGTTATATTAAACTACGTGATAGATTGTAATAAAAACTGTTAAAACATTCTAAGGATAAGAAAAAGATGATAAATCTTTTAAACATACTAATTAACAAATACTGTAATGTTACTAAAACAGGAGGTTAAGTTGTAACAAAGAATATATTTAAATTATGAATTCAAATGTTCATCAAGTTAAAAATGGAGAATTCATAGAAATGCTTGATAAAAGCCACAAAAAGTAAATGTTTAATACTATGCATCTTACCTGTTTAAGATCCAAAACTATGGTCACGTACTCGTAGTGATCTCCTTTGGCAAGAGTTGGACTCTGCCACCACTTTCCAGGGCTCGAGTCCAGTATGTTGCTAATATTATGCCTTTTGCCAGGATCTGGGCTCCTAGCATCGCAAACTCCGCATCTCGACGATTCAGAAGGTTTGCAGAAGGTTTCTGGTCCGTCTTCACCGCAAGTTGCGTTGACAAAGATGTCAGCCTTTGCAGCGACATTGAAAGTCGACGGAAAGAGGCCGCTATTTTTCAGGCTTTTATTCATTCCGTACAACGCGGATTGACCTATAAATTGAACAAGAAACACGTTAGATTGAGATAAAATATGAAAATCTTGAACTGATGGATATTATACAATAATACTTAGTAAAGAATGATAAATTTCGAGAAACATAATGTTGAATCTTCTTTGTGAAGAAAAAGGTAAATTTGAAACAAAAGTTTTTATGCTAATTGCTGGAATTGAAAACTTGGATACATGCTCAAGAATTACATTTTATTTATGTGCTATGTTTTGTTAATTCGAATTATGCTGAATTATGACTTCAGATTCTAACTTATAGCTTTGTACAACTTATTATTTATAAAATATTTGTGTGTGAATATATTCTATGTTTTAATTGTGTATTACATTTTTAAAAATATTTTAAAAACATTTTTAAAAATATTCCTCCTTTCATACTAATCTAAACTTCAATATTAGTCTGTATTGAATTTTACATTTTTCATTTTTATAAATATTAAGAAAATAATGTTTTGAAGGCTTCATCCGAATTCAGTAATACTATAAGTACAGTTAATGAAATAAAATACACTAATAGATACATTTATTAAATGTCTCTCAAAGTCAAGTATGTTCTTATAATATTATTATTATTATTTTTTAATCATTTTCTATACTAACAACGAACTAATGTAAGTTATCCTTACAGGTGTATATTTTTGTAAATACATTCTCAAACACTCATAAAAAAAATAATATAGCATACTAATGTGTATAATCAATACTATATCTTGTTTATTAAAAACACAAATAAAATTCCAGTACCATCAATTCAGTTTTGTCTAATTTAATTCTATTCTCCTCAAATTCTTCAATCAAAAAAAAAAAAGAAAAAAGTAGGAGCGTGTATAAACTTTCTTAAGCTTTAATTTTCTTAGAAAACATTTTTAATATTCAATTATATAACGATTTTTTTACATGCAAATCAATCTGAATTATAATATCTTAAATTACAAAACTAACTAAACACCTAAATCATAAAATCATCAAATACTTTCATGAGCGAAAACTATACGTTTCTGCATGGTTGTTCAAGGTCAGTATTCTTTCCAATTGCCCATGGCATTGGCGAACGTAGAATTTCACTGGAAATGACGAACAGTCGGTTTATCTCGTAATTTCCTCAAGATGCATGTATACACCGGCAGGCTTTGAGAGAGCTCACAGGCACGGAACCAGTTGCACACCAGCAAACACGTTACCATGAAGAGATACAGCATTGCAAGTGACAACAACGAGCATCGGTGAACAGGTTCACGGTTTCTTGATTATCTCGGACATTCGAAAGGGTTAAACGCGCGTAATCGACACGCGAGTTTCTGCCGTGTTATGCTGGATCCACACTGGCAGCAGAGGTGGAGATAGCTCAGTCGGTAAAGCATCAGACTCTTAATCTGAGGGTCCAGGATTCGAACCCCTACTCAGGCGGGAAGAAAGATATTGTCCTTTAGGACAACAGCACGAGGACAGCTCTGTGTGTATAAAAAGGTCCCAGAGCTCTCTCAACGTGCGTAGGACGGCCATCGTGGAGGTTTTAGTCGGTAAAAATCCGAAATTTTCCCTTAAAAGATTCAGGTGTCTTATTGAAGATTTCCTTCACGTAAAAAAAAAAAAAAAAAGGATCCACGCTGGGCAGAACTGCGCTCGCGAGAAGTTCACGAACAGTTTATAAGCTGCTCGCTAATGCCGCGTCCACACTTCTATTGGCGAACAGTTTATGAGCTGCTCGCTAATGCCGCGTTCACACTTCTATTGGCGAACAGTTTATGAGCTGCTCGCTAATGCCGCGTCCACACTTCTATTGGCGAACAGTTCGCCAAGTTGGTGAACTGTTCGCTCACAATAGTGTGAACGCGGCATTAAAGGGAGCATGAGTAATCGTCGGTTGAAGGCGATCAACAAGGGAACGAAAACTATCCTGCTTGTACAGTTAATGAAAGAAACTAACAATTCTGAGGCAGTATTTACATAATGTTGATATAATGAAAGTTGACTTACTTCAAATATTATTTCAGACAATATTTTTAATATTAATATTTAATAAATTTATTTACGAATTCCTTTCGATTCATATTCTCGATCAATGGATTTATCCATTTCACTCGATTAATCGATTCACGTTATCGAATCCCATTTTTTAATATTTAGACCTTGAGATTCGCTTAATATTTTTTTCATTATCCTTTGAGATTTTTATAATGTTGTGAAATTTCAAGAAACTGACCAAGAAATTATGGTGATCATCGATATTTAATGAACTTAATACTTTAGTTGTTTGCCAATTTTTGGCCAATTTTTGTCACATATATTGTCCATTCATATATAATAGGAATATATATTATGTTTTTCTTATTACTTGTATAATACATGAATATAGTATATAATATGTGATAATGCAATACACTACTAAAAATAATGTTTACTTATAGAATAAATTTGTAAAACAAAATCTACAATTTACTTATTGTTAAATAAAAGATTAATATCATTGAATATAATGTATTAATATAATTAATATATAATAACATATAATAATTAATATATGATATATGATATAGATTGATAAATATAAATATAATAAATACGATAAATATAATTCATTTAATTTTATTAAATTAACAAAATTAACATAATTTTGTTCATTAGCAATATAATTTTTGCTCATTGTAATTAACTTTGCATTACTTTTACGCATATTATATTTTTGTGCATTGTGTAATATCATCTGAATGTTTTTTTCAATGTTGAACCTAATTCTGTCATGGTAAACATAATATAAATACAAAATAAAATATTATTAATTTTACAGATTTGTAAGCTAGATTTTGTATTTTAATCCAGGGAATTCAATAGCCACATTTAATTTCGAGGTTATCACAGTATTGAAATATTAAATCCAGTAACTATATGTTTAAATTATATATTATATATTATATGTTTATACTATGTTTTATTATATAAAAAATATATAATAAAATAATATATATAATATATAATAAAATATATATAATAAAAATAAAATAAAATAAAATAAAAATCAAATAAAAAATATATAATAAAATATATAATATATAAAATATTTTTTATATTATATATTATATTATATATTTTATATTATTTTATTTTATATTATATATTTATATATATTTTATATTTTATATTTTATATTATATATTTATATATATTTTATATTTTATATTTTATATTTATATATATTTTATATTTTATATTAATATATATTTAATATTATATATTATATATTAGAAATATATAATATATAAAATATATAATAATATATGAAATATGTTTATAAAATAAAATCTAGATGTGTTTGTATCTTAATTCATGAAACGGATCGAAATCGATCCATAAGTAATTTAACGAAAGAGTTAATCCTCCGGTGATATCACAGGTTCGTCGAACCTGCGCCTGGTTTTTGCGCGACTCGCGAGTGAAAAGTGTTCCGGAAAAGGAACAGATCCGTGGTAGCGAGCCGTTCTGTTGTGTCTCGCCGGTAAACCAGCCTGTTTTACTCCCTTTCTCCTGTTGAGCCTGTGCACCAGAGAGCCTCAAGCCCGCCACGAGTGACTGATGACGACAGAAATAACCCTGTCCCATCTTTCCGCCGGCGCACGTGTCCACGTTCATGGACAAACCTACGCAACGAATACGATGGAAACGAGGAGGAGACGAGCATGCGTTGCCCAGACCGCGTGATTTGCATGCGAGGCCGAAGGATGCACCGAGGAAGATGCCGATGGACACCGTACAGTTTGGATTGTGGGGAGATTCTATTCATCGAGTAATAAAATTTCTAATTCCTCTTTGAACCTCGGTACATACGTTGAAATACATGCTGAGGATTCATGAGTTTCATGATGCATGTCGCAATGTAATAATTGAATCAGAAGGCAACTCGCATCGATGCAAGAATTTGTTCCTCTGGATTAGTCATAATCTCTTT